TTCTATAGCGCTCACTCAGACATTTCGACGTGTTTGCTGCTCGCACTGAAGTAATCGCAAAGTTTTGTGTCTGCTGCAAGTTTTTATCTCTGAAAATTGGCGCATTAATGCGGCTAAAGAATGAACAAAGTTTTGAATAACTTGTTTGGACCTCAAGACATAAAACTGAATTATCCGAATTGAACAAGTAGCCGATATGTATGGTGTGAGGTATATTATAAAGCTTAATGCTCTAAATGCTAATGGAATGTGGTTTTGAATAACTCACTGGCTGCACCTAAAATCAGTTTTTTTTTTTGGTAAAATAAATAAATTATTATTAGTTTTTGCAGTCAAAACCATAATGATTTATGTGAAGCAAAAATATCAGCATTTAAGTCAGTTTATTTAATGAAACTGCTTTCGTGTTAAAAAGCTCTTCACCAAAAGAATTTAAATACGTTATTATATTCATTTTCTCGCTTTTGCTCGCCCTGTTCCATTGACCATTAAAAATAAAATCCGCTTCCTGGTAAATGACATGAAAACAATTCAAGCGAAGCTTCAATCACGTTAAGACCCCAGCCAAAAAAATAAAAATAAAAAAGACTTACAGGAAATTCATGCAAATGCAAAAGCAACTGCTGCAGCAGCGTGAACTCAGGAAGCATTCTTTAAAAGGCAAATTCAGGGAAAATGTCGAGAGGAAAAAAACCGAAAAATCACGAGACCAAACAAATAAATAAATTGACCATTAAAATAATTGCTGTGCCTAAAATGCGTCTCGTACGTGGCTTGTAACACGCTTTGCCCCTTGTTGTTGCATTTGTTTCTTTCGGCAGTCAGTTGTTTTTATTGTTGTTGTTGCTGCTGTTGGCGCTGCAAATGTTGCAACAACTTGTCAAACATTTGAATTACAGTTACGAAACCAATAGCGATGCCAAATGACCGGCCCCTCGCATTTTATTCACTTTTTTTCATTGGCCAAATTTGGCTAAATTTAATGAAGCAATTAAATGTCTGTATTGAAAAGCAAACATTAAACATTTGAAATTGGAAATACACGTTTTTCTAAGACTGGTCAGATGTTTGCCGCCAATAATGAAAAATCTATGACTCTGTAGTTTTGATATTACAGTCAATTTAATACAAAGCAACATTTAATTCTTAAAACAAATTTAATTTTGCAGTGTTTTTTGAATTAAAATTTATAAATCCAATTTAACTTAAAAAAACAATTGCAAAAGCCTCGCCAAATATTCTTAATCAAATTGTCATTTAAAAAATTATTACATTACAATAATTCATTATTACATTATTTTTTGGAAAAATAATAGATATGTAATAATATATATATTCCTTCTTAATAATCTTTCAGGCGATTATCTTATGATTTATATTCAAACAGAAAGTGCTTTCCTTTTCAAAACATTATATGGCCGTCACAGTTTTGGAGCCACTGGCTGAGTTGTTCCTCGAATTCTCGCTAGACTTTCAATTAGTCACGCGCGCCCCAAAGCCATTCAAGCATAAATCTAGACATTGTTGTACGAACAGACAGGCTGACAGACTGCTTACTGGCAAACTGACAGACTGGATGGCTGACTGCCTGGCTGACAAAGAGACATATAGACATATAGACGGACAATCTCTGGTTCTCTATGGTTCTGACCAGTCTGCGAGGACTGGAGGACCGCAGTCTGTCGCCTTTTTCCCAGCGCAGATAGAAATATTTTAAGCTGTCAAATCGTTGACACACGCCTGTCGTTCCATCTCGTTCCTATCCGTTGTTGTTGTAAATCACTCGATTAGTCTAATTGTTAAAATCCACGCCGCGGTGGAGAAATCCGTCGAAGTCTGGAAGTCCCATAAGATTTTGTCGCCCCAGACAACCAACGTCAATGTCAAGTTTCGTCTGAGGTCATAAATTGTGTTCTGTTTCGGTTGGCTTGACATTGGGCAACAAACAGAGACGATATCTCTCTAATGTGTTTCTAAATAGTTGTGACAAATGCATAGGATATGTTCACAGCCAAATCACACAACACACTTAATTGTGGAGATAGCTAATTAGTGAACTTGTTGGGGGACAATTTATAGTGTCGATGCTTATTGAAGGGGACAGCCAGCAGCTGTGAAAAGTGCTTGGAAAAATGTTCAAAGAAATGAGCAAACAAATTAAAAGCTGAGTAAAAATGTTCATTACTGGTTAGGGTATGAATGCATGCGTTTTAAGTACAAAATTGCAATTTCTTATTTAATTTATTTTAAATACCTGTCACATAAGTAATTAAAATCTGAGTAAAGGTATTCTTTATTAGTTAAGTTATGTTTGAATTTTAAACAAATAACAAACCGAAGCTAAATGGTTTTAATTAAGGTTCTGCTAAGGCTAAGTCTGCATGCATTTTAAATAAAAAATAGCAATTTATTATTGAAATTTCATGTTACAACTTTTTAAAAAACCTGGAGTGAAACAAAATCAAGCAAGAGAAAAAGATTTTTTTTACAAAACCCTGACAGCTCTGAATATTCTTTGTCACTCAAGCAAATCAACGCAATGAGAGCGTGTAAATTTTGACACATGCCCCTCATTTGACTTCGTTTCTTCGACATCCGCTGTGTCCATATCTGGAAAATCATGGGAACCCATACATTTTGTGTTCGTTGTCTGGCCAAAAATGTAGTCCATGCCACACAATTGCGTTAAAAAAAAAACGGCCAAGCGGTTGACATATACAAAGAGTTAGGCAGATGCCATAAAAGGTTTTGTGATTTATATTTGGCATTCTGTTTGGCAACTAGAAATAGGTATTGTCAGAATTAATTAAGTGAAGAGACCAATTTAAATACTTCTGTATGAAGTTGCCCCTTTGTATGGAAGACGTGCAGGAATTTATTAATAAACTCGGAGAGCAGCGCATGGCTGTCATAAATCTTTCATACTTTAAGGCATATGCAAAAACAATGTTTTTAATTTTAAATCACTTCCAGTCTGTGGATATAATGCTCCTCTCCTTGGCTGCTTCTCGTTTTAATTAAGTGCACCCTCAATGCCTTTGCCTTGGTCTTGGGCCAGCAATCTTTGTGTGTCGGAATGGTCCGGTCCCGTGGTATATGGCATATGGCATATGGCATAAGGCATGAGGCACCGATGGAATTATATCAAAACATTGGAAATATCTGAGGGAAGACTCGAGTGCAAGCCGCACTTGAAATGTCAACTTTGTGTCGGCTGATGCTAAACAGATGATATACATTTTCCGTTTCATTTCCTCTCCGTTTTCAGCACATTATTGGCCAATAGCGGGTCGATCGGATTCGGATTCTGATTCTGGTGCAGTGCACACTTTGAAATTCCAATTAACACTACCGCGAGCGATTAGCACCCAATCGAGATTTAAAGATCCGCCGCAAGTGTGAAATAAAATATGGTAACAGACACCTTCTGGGAGGTCTATGCTATTTTAATTGGGCAACTAGTTTAAATTTGTGTTTAGAATAAACTTTGAAAAAAATGTTAATGTAATTTTCTCGTGTAAAAATCCCTTTGGTAAATTTTAAATATGGTAAGACAAGTGGAATTTTTAAGTCCTCAAATTTGTACTATCTGCTAGGGCCATCGAATATCTTACATATTAGGATTGTGGGTATGTTTGTTATTAAACTATTTTATTTAATTATTTATTTAATTATTTTTGTATTTATTTCTAAATATAATAGACATTTTTAAAAAATGTATGTGTGATAAGATATTGTGGAATATTGTAGCTTTTCAAAGAACTCTTTTATTTATTTTAGTAATTTTTGATTTTCTCAAATACATTTATTTTATATAAAAATTTAATTTTTTTAAATTAAATATAGTTTTTAAATTACTTTAGTTTAAATAGAGCTTTTAAATTTTCAGTTATAAAAAGGTAAAATAAAAAAAATAATAATTATATTTGTCATACTGCATGTGTGTTATTTAAACATCAAATTAACCTTATTAACCTCATAAGACATGTTCCCCATCCAAAACAACACCGGAAATGAAAGCCGATTGCTTGCAGGGAAAAGTCGCAATAAAAATAACAGTATGTAAACCAATATGACTTAATCAAAACTCCATCAAAACGAATTTATGTTTGCCATTTTGAGTATTAGAACTGACTGGGCATCAAACGGGTTTCGGTGCCAGTCCGAGCCCCGCGAAGATCATATTTCAAAGTTCCAATGAGACAGGCCGAGGCATGTACCGCGATGGATCATGGAGCTGGCGTTAAATCGCTTGTAAATGAGTGACAACTCAGCGGCTTAATTACAAACTGGATCACAGCTCGTCTGTCACAAGAGCTTATCCCGGCCAATTTCAGATGGGTTAGATGACAGCCCTGAGATGGGACTCCATTTGGACTAGGCTGGACTTACCTGCTTCAGATCCAGTAAGATGGTCACGTACTCAAACTGCCGGCCACCCTGAAGCGTCGGTGATTGCCACCAGCCTTCGTCAGATCCGGAGCCCGTCGAGATCAGCGACTGAATGGAGCGCTGCTTGGCCCGATCCGAGGAGTGGGCATTGCAGATTCCACACGGCTTGGCCCCGACCTGTTTGCAGTACTCCTCAGCTCCGTTCTGGCCACATGTGGCATTCACCGAGATCTGAGCACGGGGTACCACATTGAAAAGCGGTGGATAGAGGCCTCCGGATCCACCAGATGAGTACAAGTCGTCCGTTTTAAGCAATCGAAGGGCTGGAAGTGGAGTAAAATACGATATATATTTAAAAAAAGTGATTAAAATGATTAAAAAATATCTACGAACGAAAATTAAGTTTAATTTTTGTAAATAACAGTAAATATTCACTTATTTAGTTGCAAATTATTTTACTTAACTAAAAAGCCACTGGAGAAACTGTTTCGCATTGAAACTTAAAGCTTTTAAATTAGCATTAAACACAGTTGTTCCTCTTTCTCATATTACTACTTAAATACATTATATTATTTACTCATGAGGTAACATATAGTAACTTGTAGTTGTTTAACTTATTTAACCGGTTTATTTTTTTTCGAAGATACAAAGTCATTTATGCAAAGCATTTAGAATGAATTGAACAGAAATCACTCGAAATTCCTAGGGATACTTTAGTGAGGTGCTGTAGTACTCCTCCTCCAGATCGGACAGTTCTTCTTTCATGTCTTCAGCTATTATCGCTAGCTTTTCATCAATTTCGATTTGCTTGGCACTACACAACTCCGACATCTTCTTGACAGTCTTGTTGATGGCGGGAAAATCGTAGAGAATATGGAATTCCTTGAGGTCGTTCACCATTTTCATCAGGGATTCTCCTGCGCGAACCATATTGGCCGCACGCACTTGCATTTCCAGAGCATCCTGTTCGCATTGTGTGACCTTACAGATTTGACTGGTATTTTCTCGGCTAGCCAGCTTCATGATTTCCTCAAAGTTCACCAACATGTTGCGAACATCGGCTTTTAGCTGGGTTTTAAACGATTTCAGCTGCGACTCCTTTGATTGTGGAACCCTCGAACTGCTGGCCATGTTTCTGCTTTCTTTCTACTTAATATATTTTAGTAAAAATAGTATATAGATAGTTTTGCTTCAAATATATTCAGGTTTCGTTCAACTGAAAATAAGATATATCAATTGTAGATTATTAAGACATTGAAGAGGTCACTTAACTTAATATTGTATTGAATCTAAATCGTTAAGTTTCAATTGGCTTCCCCAGGGATCTGCGTATCCCCTTCCCAACTTCATTATTCAAATTCTGACAGTTTTTCCCAGGCCAATCAATTAAATTGCTCAAACCGAAACAAGTCGAGAACAAGCCCTCAAGACAACATTGCCAATAAATCACCTCCTCGGGCAGCTGCTCTGGATTGCTCTGAACTTTGTGCCATGAGAATTATTGATTGGTTGCCTGGCTGGCTGACTGAAATGAATGAAAAATGTACAAGTATCTCACGGGGCGCAGATAACCAAAAGCTGGGCAACTTTCGAGATAAACTTTATCGCTGACCAACAGCAGCAGCAGCCTGCAGTTTAAGTTGTAGTTGGGGCGCAGATGTTGACCTGGTATGCCATTTGCATGTTTTTGGTAGCTCCAAATTGCAGTCGGCTGCTGTTTGCTGTTGTTTCCTTTTGACCAGCTTTTTTTGGCAATTGTCAACACAAAAGTTTTGCGAACAAGACAAAAATGTTGACGTAATTGCAGGAAAATGGCATATAAGTTATAGGGAAGGATCAACAGCAAACTTTTTGGTTGAATGAGAAAAGTTTTGCATGGAAACTTGAATGTGAAGTTTCAATAGGTTAAGTGGAGGCTGAAAAAAGCAATGAGTTAAGTACAAAAATATTTCAAAGATAAATATGGAATGTATGGACATAAGAATTGGTTTAAGAAACTTAGTTATTTATTTTAGTCAATTGCCATACTTCTCAAGCTAGTGGCTTTAATTCAAATTAAAATTTCTTCTGTCCAAAATTCCTTTATTTGAACTTTAAATAGGGGATTTTTATAATCTCAGCTTTTATACAACTTTTTTTTAATGTACAAATAAATATTTTAGTGTTTTAGTGGCGCATTTAATTTGTCAAAACATTTAATCAGCAATACTTTTCTCACTTAAGCTGTCAGCGCTGCAAAACGTGAATACATTTGAGGGGCGGATCGGGAGCCAAGGGGCCCAGACATAACTCTGAAAATGTTCAGGTGCCGGGCAGCCGTTGAAAAGGCCACCTCCATACAGCCCCAAGTCGCCAGTTATTTAACTTCTCTCTTATTTTTTCTGCTTTTGGCTACCGCAAATTTGTCATTTGTCAAAACATTTAAATGCCATTTGCCGGTTTCCTCTTGAGTTGGGGCCATTTTGACAGCTGTCGATAAGTTTTTCTTTCACGCTTTTAACACTTTGTGCCTGAACTTTGCCCAGAGCAGTGTTTTCTTGTTTTAAGCTTTGACTTCAAGGCATTTGTTTGAATCGCTTTAAATCAATTTTTTGGGTAAGCCTAGATTTCTCATTTCTTAGTTTTCAAAGTGAAAGTGATACTCTCATAACTATATTTCAGATTATTATTGGCTGGCATGTCTGGAGTCAATTATTGGTGACTGAGGGTATTAGTTTTTTTTTGAAAATACTTTGGTGTTAACAAACGAAATTTGTTTTGATTTGTGGAAATTAATTGGTTTACTTAACGCAAGTCTTAAGTATGAAAAAATGTTTAGTTTTTTCATTTAAACGACATAACTGGATAACTGTTTAACTGTTTCCTTGTTTAGTATATTGTGTGTTTGTAAAATGTTTATATATTTGATATTTTGAATGAGAGCTTTTATCAGCCAACTTTAAACAACAAATAAGATTTGCTCAGTTGATCAATTTCATACATTTAATATCTCGTTAGATGGATTATTGAGGTTAAAAATATTATCTAATGGAGTTTAATTCGGGTAGGTCTTTACTTATATACAATTTTCAGACTTGCAGGTGTTCTCGTCCCTATTTAAATTGACAAATCTTAATTTCTTTCGATTAATTTTGTTTTTTTTAAGTTAATTTAAATATTTCATTAATTTTAAGAGCTTCTCCTCCTTTATGTTGTTATTTTGACTTCACCTTTGGGTTTCGACTCTTTTTCCGTGTCGTTTTTATAATTGAGCCGTTTGCCAAAAAAAAAACAGCTTCTCACAAGAGTCTCCATCTCGGGTGAGACCTATTTATGGCCACAATTTTGATTACTTTCCCGAGACCATCCATCGAACTGCCTTCACTCCTTCATTTTCATTTTCGGCAGCGGACTGTCAAAAGGCATAAAGTTTGCTCTCGTCACGGCTCCTTTTTTGGTTTATTCTTCGTACGATTTTATATGACTTTTTTTAGCTACCGAAATTCATTATTTATATGCATGTTGAAGGCAATTTGGTTATGCAAAACAGTATGTCGGTAGAATTGATTGGACTGGAGAATTTCGCTCTGACAGGAAGCACTCCAATTGCTGACTAACTAGAGATTACCCTAACAGCAGCTTGTCTCTCTGTGCCAGCAATTGGTTAATTTCCATTGCCATCTTTGAAGTTGCATTGCAACGACTTAATAAGCGGCTGGAAATGGAGGAGCGACGCTGCCCCGTTCTCTGTAATTTTTACCTCCAGCTGTCTGTTTGTGTGCATAATTGGCCAGAAGGAAAACAAGAATGGCTGGGCCCCATGGGGCACCAGATAGCCAAATCCCCGGCAGCCCGTCCAAAAATAGTGGAAATATTTCTGTACCGTGTGCGCCATGTCGATATGAATGAAATGCAGAACATTGAAATGCTTTCAACTTCCAGAAGCACGTGCCTCGAAGAATTTCTCTGTTTGGAAACGGTTAGGAGTTTTAACTGCACTGCAATTATGATTTCAGCTTCGCACTTTTATAGGCTTAAGTTTTCTAGGAAGACATGTGCTCAAGAACAGGGATGGCAAACAATACCGATACCGATACAAAAACGATAAGATAAATATCGATAACAATGGACAATGTGGCCATATAAATACAAATACTTAAACACAACGATATTTCCGTGAAGCTTGTTAATTATTTTAAATTAAAAATAAAATTACAATTTTGGGTGGCTTCTGGTTTTAAATATATCATGAATAAAAGCTTAATAATTTAATCCTATTTTAAAATTTACCATACCATACATGTTTTTAAAAATGATATAATAGATACAACTTTGCGTATTTTATATATTTAAACCCTTAATTAATTTAAAATCTTGAATATTGGATTATTAGCAAACAAAAATAGGCTTTAAAATAACTGAATTTATTTACCTCTCCTGAATTAAGAGATAAAAATAAGTTATTCCAACATTTGTCACGCTGAAATGGGAAACTGCATGGCTTTTCAAACACCATTTCCCCATAATTGCATCACCCACACATTTTGTGAGTCATCCAAACAACAACAAACGACGAACGACCATTGAGTGGCAGCTACCAGTCTTCAATACCAAATCAAGCATTACTTGCATAACCCAGCGGAGTCATCGACCACATTGTCCCATGATGAACATCATCATCGCGATCGGCTCGTCGCTTCAGACCGCGCATGGATAAATATTTTTTCAAAACATCGGGATCTCGGTAGAACTCGGACTGGATGGGATGCCTCTTGAAGACGTCGGGAAAAGCCGGTAGCTGGAGAAAGAGTTGGACAGACAGAAAAGCATGTGTTCTTCTCACCATCGGTCAGCAGCTTTTGAAGCACCCACTGACGGGACCCGACAAGAACTCGGCATCCGTCTAGCAGCCAAGATATCCAAACTAACCCAACAGCCAACTAACCAACCAACCAACGATCCATCCATCCGTGAGTCCATCCACTTGGCGGCAGCTCCAATCTTAACCCGTTCGGTTCCCACTGTTTCCCGGCTTTTAACGCTGCGCTGCACTGATGCATGACCAAACATCTTCAGTTCTGGTCAGTTTGATGCCCCATGCCCCTGCTGCTGCTGCTGCTGCTGCTGCCACCTCCACCTCCACTCCATTTTATTTCTTTTCTTGGAAATCTGTTGACGCAACCCCCTGTCCATCTGCCATCTTCCGTCTTGGTCGTGTCCATGACGATGTCCATCCGTTGTCGTCTTGTTTGTCAGTCGGTTTGTTAGCCAGTCTTGTTTATTTTCAATAAATATTTGACATTTGTCTATGCATTTTTCCCGAACCTCAGAGGACAAGTCAAGCGTTTGGCTGCCAACACCGACCGGGTACATTAATTTTTCAAGTACCCAAAGAACCAGTACCGCCCCTCCACGCCCCTCAAGATACGATACGTTCTGGCAACCCGCCCAGCGAACATCGTAAAAGTTCGACTGGAATTGTCACCTGCCTGCCACACCAGGTGGTGAAAAGTTCTTAAGCCCTGCAGTTCCATTCGCCTTTCAACACGGCGGATGTTTGATTTAAACTTTGGTTGCGAAAGGAAAGGAAATTGTTTACCCAAAACCTTGTGTGTGTGAAATTCCCCAATAGGTGTAGAATTTGCCACATTCGGATTTGATCTAATTCCTTAAATATATAACCAAGAACTGCCTCAGTAAAAGAATGTCTTATATCCAATACAATAAAATATGTAGAACTTCTACCAAATATTGTCAGAGCTTCAAAACCTAATGTTTAACTTTTCAGCTAACTAAACATATTACTTTTAATTTTAGTTGATTCGATAATAATTTTATTTTTACGCCATCCAAAAAAAAGATAATGACATAAAGGAATTTCCGGACAGCCATTAAGCTGTTGGCTCTTAATTAAGCGACTTGTTTTGGCCGAGTGCCAAAAAGGCTGGCTACTTTTATCTAATCGGGAATCAGAATTGTGTAAGCTACCTGCAAAATCTTTTCGTGTAGTGGTTCACTTAATAATTTAATAAGTCCCACGAAATCATGAAAACATTTGAGACGTTTAAGGTGAACCCACCTTTGCTGCACTTGTGCGCTGAGATAATTATCACGATTTATGAGTCAAAAGCTCTTATCGGCCACTTGCAATCAATGCACGAAAAAAAAAGTGCATGAAAAGGCGTCGAAAGGCCCATTTAACCATTAGCCAAAAAGCATTGCCACCATTAGATGGGAAAGGTGGACAAATGGCCCCCACCGTGTGTTTGCCAATCACTCGAAATGCATTTTCAGCTTCGGTTCGAGTCAATGTTTGCCCCACGTCCGTTAACCAACACTGCATGGAATGCTACGACTGCTGCGCATGCGCAAACGAGATCTCATCGGTTAGGTTTTGGGGTTTTTGGTGTTTTTGGGGTCTCCTCTCATATCGCACTCATTAGTTACGCCTGAGTGGGCCTTGGGTGAGCTTTGTGATATCCGATATCTGGCAAAGCCCCTCGTGGAGACACGAGTCGCCCACACTTCTCTTTCGGGCGGTTTTTTTGGAATCACTTTCAGATTTTCGCTTGTGCACTGTTAATTTGTCATTAGCTGTCAGATTTTATTAATATCTTGGTGTGTTTTTTTGTATTTTCTGCGGACAGGCGAAGGCGCAAGTCGCATAATAAGTAATGTCATAATTAAATTTATAAAGTATGCGTCTGAGTCATCTTTTCCACAAGTGGAGAGGGACTGACAAGTTTTGTCGCCGACATTGTCGTCTGTCTAGACAGACTGAGATTATGTCTCAGCCATTGGACTATAGGAAAGCCAAGTGCAGAAAAGGGAAACTACAGGAAGTCCAAGTGGAGTTGTGGCATTCTTTGGCTGCACAAAAAAGGAAACGAAAAAATATGAATTAAGTTTGAATGCGAGATGACATCAGATTATTATAACAGTCTTTTGCTTTTGTGTGGCTTACCTAAAGCAATATACAACCCTCTGACACAGAGTTAAGCACTTTGAAAGATTTCTTGTTTACTAGAAGAATTTTCATCGTTAAAGTTTATAAATAAATACCATAGAATTTTCGCAAGAAAAAATAGTATAAAATTGGCATTTTTGTTTTGCAGTCCAATTTAAACTAAAATTGCCTAAAAATTGCACCAAAGTGTTTTGAGTCACGATATGGATAAAGTAAATATTTCTGAAAGAACAATTCAACCCACGTTAAAACCTAACATGTAATTGAGAAATCGGACCAAACAATGTTATATCTGTGATTCCAATTTCACAATTTTTTATGATTTAATTGGCAAACCTTGAAAATCCTTTGAACGATTTTATTAGACCACCCATAACTGCATTACGAGCATGTTTAATGTCGTGTTGTCTATTTTAACGACCTAACCGGCAGTTAAATCAGACATTAACTGGGTCGTCCGGTCATCCGTAGGCATTGGTTGCTATTAATTCGAAATGGCAGCCATTAATGGCACACGCTGTACGCGATCGGCAATAAACAAATCATTTACCCGCAAGAGAGCTGTCGCATTCGGGTTTTGTAATAAAAAAAACTTTGAAACGCCCCGAATCGATGTTTTGGACAAACTTTAATACATAAATCTCTGGCGGAGTTTTTGGCGGCGACCAAACCGGGCGGCTGCCAACCTTCCTGGCAATCAGAGTTGACTTGTAAACTATTTAATTAGCACATGGTCCGTAAGCGTGTTGGTTTTGGTTGTAAAAAGGCGCCGACCAAGTCATGGGGAAGTCAACCCACGATCGCGCTGCAGGCGCCATTTGAGCCATTTGATGGCGCCGCCGCTGTTTTGGCCACCGACTTAAGTTGGCCAATTGTTAGCTCCACAGCACCCGTTCCTTGGTTTTTCCACTCGAGGAGCTGGAGTTAATTGTTCATAGATTGAAGAAATTGCATTAATTTGGCTTGTTTACGTTGCATGTCGCCTCACGCTGTTGACGATTCGTATCTCTCATTTTGACTACAAATTTTTATCGCCTTGTTGCTGCCTTACTCATCCAACCAGTTTTGCCTCAGTTTTTCCTCTGACCAGGCTTGTGTTTTGGCTTTGGCTTTGCCATTTGATAAGCCTTTATCCTGTCGCGTCTGCGTCACAAAAAATGTTGCCATTTGAGTGGCAATTAAAGATTTTATTGAACAAGCTGCGGCGGAATTATCGCCTAAGTTGAAGCTTGAGAAATTTAAGAGCCAAATTGAGTGGAGTAACTGTTAAGCCAATGCGACGTTGATTATTAAACTAACAATTTTGGTTAAGCAAATCGCAAATTCAATATGGTTACGCTTGCGAGTGATTGCAAAAAATAGAACACTTTGAGGAATATAGCAAGACATTTATAGCAATTTAATGTCTATTATATCTTATAGACAAAACTAGCTTAATTAAGTTGAACCGTTCGTTAAATTGTGTTGTTATGCACTTAAAGCATTGAAAAAACATTCCAGCAAAATATTTTATAATTTGATTAAACTCATGCGGTTCTCTTTCGAAAATTTTGGCAAGCAACTAAAAAAGCATATAAATATTATTTCAAGGATGCCAAAAAAACCGCAATACAATTATAACATACCGACCTCAGTCGAAACAATTTTAGCGTTAAAAAAAGAAATAGCAAAGGGTAAACTCGAATTTTTCATTAAAGAAATGCCAATAACTGGTTTCAGCAACAAATAGCCTTCGAGTCGCATTAATTAAGCAATTTGTCGGGCGTCGTGTCGCGACGAGTCGGTCGACTTTTCTGATCCCGATCCCCAAAAGGCTCGAATATCGCACTGAATCGAATCGGATTCTGCCGGCCACTTTGCATGCAATGCGTCAATTTCTCATTGATTGGTCTTGGCCAGCTTGGCTATTTAGAACACTAATCAATGGCAATGCCAAAATGTTTCAATTCTTTCGAGCTGTCAGAGGCTGTAAGCCAGAAAGACAGGCCGCCAACGGCAGTCGACAGCCATCCACTTGAACCTGAACCCGAATACGAATCCCGAATACGACTCCGAATTGGAATCCCAATCCAAACCTGAACCTGATTCTATAAGCTT